TCCTGTGGGTCTCTATCTGCAGTGAGAAGCCACTGAAAGGCTAAAGCGAATTGATACCCATTTTTAGAAGATCGTTCTGGCTGCTGTGTAGGGAGCTGATGGGAGGGAGCAAAAGCAGAAGCAGGGAGCCGAGTTAGGAGGCGGGCAGTTGTCCAAGGAGAAGAGATGGGTGCTTAAGGTAAGCAACAGGAGCAGAGAGAAGTGGTTGCACTCAGGATACCTGGGAGACAGGACAGGTAGCCCTGCATGCCGAGTTGCATGTGGGGAGGGAGAGGCTCCTATCCAGGAAGACTCGTGGGTTTGGGGCAGGAGGAGCTGCTAACAGTGGGACAGGACAGGGTGTAGGTGAGGAGGAGCAAGGGAACCTTCATCCTGGGAGTGTGAAAGGGGAGCACCTGAAGCCCCTCCAGATAAAGGCATCCTGCAGGGGGTTGCAGGTTTGTGGAGGACACAGCCTGCTTGCACTGCTCAAGCCCCATCCAGCGTCTCCTCGCTGGCCTCACAGAAAGGAAGCTGCTGGTGGCCTGGGGAGGACCTTGGTGCTTAAGAAGACAGCTATCAGCCGTACAGCTCATGACATGGGAGATCTTGTGTCACAGAGCCCCTTATCCCACCTTGGGAGATTGTCAGGAAGCCAGTCTTCTCTCTTCTGTTCCTGTCAGCTGCCCGTGGCAAATCCACTGGCCTGGGAGCCAGAGCTTGGAGAGAAGTGGCCAGAGACGGTCTACTGCTTCCTTAGGTCATTGCTGATGTCCCACGGGGTCTCCTGGGCTCTTGCTCCTCCCAGGACCCCTGTCTGCTGACCACAAGGGGAATTCGTGTGCAAAATCCACACCCTGTTTGTTTTCTTCTCTGCCAAAATGGAGCCCCTGTTTGGTTAATTTCTATTTTGTGGCTTATTTTGAGGCTGTTAAAACAGACCCTGGGGGACCCTCAGCAGTGATTGTTCCATATCTCATTATCTTTCCCAAACCCGATTATTAGCTCAGATTTTTCTGATCGCTAGCTGCTGTTCGTGATGAGTTGTGTGCCATTAATGCCAGCTGGTTCCCTTAAACAGGACCCACCATGCCAGGGAAAATGAGCTGGCATTCAGAGCCACCAGCCACTTGGCTTTTTAATTTTAATGGGCTCCACCAAATGTTTCAGGCCAAAGGGCCCCTGAGGAATCAGAACAGACGGGCTCGCAACCCTGGTCTGCAGCCCACCCTGGTTCCTTCCCAGGCTGTGGCCATCCTAGCTGCTGGGACGGTAAGGCCTGAGTTGGGGGCTGTGGCAGGAGTGGGAATAAGTGCCTGCTTGACTCTCCTTTATTTGTACCTTCCTGCTTTCGAGCTCATCATCAGTGGGTGTGCAGGGTGACCCCACCAGCTCCTAGTCTCCCCACTTTGCTGGTCCCCGGCCGCTTCCTTGGCTCAGGCATGCTGGCCATGCTCAGGAATGAGCATGTCGGGAAGACCCCAGTGGGGTTCAGGGAAAGGGCAGGCCAGAAGAGATCTGGAACCCAGGCATTGTTGTTTCTCTTCTTTCCTCCTCCCTACCCCGGACTCCCACCCAGAGTTGGGGGGACAGGCTGAAACACTCACTCTGGACTGTGCCAGTCCTAGCCAGAGGGAAAAACAGCCAGCCAGGGAGGCTTGAGGGCAAGTCTGAGTGTTTGTTACAACCAGTGACCACTATTCCTTGTCCTCCCACTACACTCCAGCCCTGCCTGCCCCCAAGAGGCTGCCAGGGGAATGTCCCAGCTGCCTGCTGGCCTCCTGGAAGACTCTTCCAACACGTCCCACATCTTTCCAAAAGGATGTTGGGGGTGGAGCTGGAGTTTGAACCTAGACCTTCTGTTTGATAGCTGGGATGGGGGCGCAGGCAGGGCTGGATCAAGGGCCCTATCTTTGCTGACGGGAGCTGCCTCCCATTCATCTGGGCCCTGGCCCCAACTGTGGTCTTTTCAGGACAGCTTTTGCTATGCAAACAGCAAATTTTAAATGGCACACTAGACATTAAAGCATGCCTCATTGAGATGGAAGCTACAGAGAAAGTAAATAGCATAGTTAAGAGCAAAGCTTTGGAATTAGCAGACCCCTGGGTTCAAATCCTAGCTTTACCTGCCCCGTAATAGCTGTGTGTCCCTGGGTAAAGTTACTTAACTCCTCGGAACTTGTCCGAACTTTTTTGAATCTATAAAAAGGAGCAACATACCTATGTAATTTATTTTTTTAATGTTTATTTATTTTTGAGGGGGGAGGGGCAGAGAGAGAGGGGGACAGAACATCTGAAGCAGACTCTGTGCGGACAGCAGAGAGCCTGATGCAGGGCTCGAACTCACGAAGCACAAGATCATGACCTGAGCTGAGCTGAAGTCAGATGCTTAACTGACTGAGCCACCCAGGTGACCCATGCCTATTTAATTTAGGTATTTCATGCGATGTGCCCAGCACACGGCCTGGCACTTCCCCGTGCCCCTTTCCTCCTCTTCTCCGTCACCAACACCTGTGTCATCCTGTCTCCCTCCAGACTTTCCCACTCTGCACTCTGTAGGAACGTGTTCCCTGGCATTTGGGGGGAGGGGGGGCCACAGAAATAGACAGTCACTCACTGCTGAGAGCTGGGGAGACCTGGACTTGGTGAGTTCCATCTGCGTGGCAGGGCAGCCTGGAAGCAGGGGAGCAGGGCCCACTGTAGGCTAGCAGCTCCCTGGCCTGCCCTGCCGTACCAGTGAAGTGTGTCCAAGCTGCCGCACATCTCCCTGCCTCCCAGCCTTCCCTTGAGCAAGTGACAGGGAAAGGACAAGGATGAGACTCTGAAGATCAGCTTGAGGCTTCAAATACAGACCAGATGCCCAAGAGCCCAAGCTGGGTTTGCCCGGGAGCATCCTGGCTCCGTGAGGTCCTGGGCTACCAGGGGCTGACAGGTTGGCACTTCCTGTCTTCCCGGGTCACCGTGCCATTCTTGCTTTGACTGCTGTAGTCACCCTGCAGCCCTGGAGGCCTTCTCAAGGCTCTGCATCTTCTCCAACAACTCAGAAGGCTGAGGCCAGAGCCAGGGCTGTGGGGGCAGGGTGGCCTGCTAGTGACCAGGTGTGCCAGAGCTGAGCGCAGGCTCCCCAGGCCCCCTTTGGCCAGGTGTCCTGCGGCAGCCGCCGCTGCCCCTCCTCCCAGGAAAGACCTCCAGGGCAGAGTCTGGTTCTGGCCTCAGTTTGGGGCAGCAGTGGCCTCTATACATCTGCTTCTGGTCTGGCCACGTGTCTAGCCTTTTCTCTCTCCACGCCTGTGCTTGTGCTGTTTTCCCCACCAAAATTCTCTTTCCTCTGCCCTGCCTAACCCACCTTTCCTCCCTCCAAGAAACCCCCCTTCCAGCCTTTGCTGATCTCCATCCATTCATTTGTTGGTTCATGCATTTATTCCTCAGTCACCAGTTGATTGAGCAAGAACTACATGCCGTCCACTGTCCTGAATGCTGGGTACACAAACATGAAAAAGGCATGGTCCACCTCCCCTGTCCAGCTGGGACATCACATCCATGAGCCGTGAACGGAGTGGCAGGAAGGAGGGATCGGAGACATGTGAGGGAGCACCTTCCTGCCTGGGAGAGGCAACATTCCTACATGGCTTACATTTTTACATAGCTTCATTTATTTAGATCCCTTTGTGCTCTAAGCTCATGCGAAACACTTTGCATACATTCTTTTTTTTTTTAAGTGTATTTATTTATTTTGAGAGAGAGAGAGACAGTGCGCATGCGTGTATACACGTGTAGAGGAGGGGGCAGAGAGAGGAGAGAGAGAATCCCAAACAGGCTCCATGGTCATCACAGAGCCTGATGACACAGGGCTTGATCCCACAACCGTGAGATCATGACCTGAGCTGAAATCAAGAGTCGGATGCTCAACCCCCTGAGCCACCCAGGAGGTCCTACATAAATTCTTGTAACAGCCCTGGGATGTTGTAGATATTACGGTCCCTTTTTACAGACAAGGAAACCGAGGCAGAAAAAGGTTCAGTGACTCCCACTGTTAGTAAGTCATTGGAGGTGGAGGTCAGAGGTGGGCCTTAAAGAGCAGGTGTGGACTGAGTAGAGAAGGAAGGCATTCGGGTCTCAGGGACCAGCATGGGCAAAGGCCCCAAGACCAGAAAGCTCCCATAGCATCTGGGGAGCAGTAAACTGGATTCCCGGAAGGAGAATGTGGGGTGTTGAGGGAGTAGGGAAGCTGCGTGAAGGAAATGGCACCTTTCCACACAGGTCACGGGAGGAGCTGGTCATGGTAGACATGGTGGGACCACGTGTTCTAGAAGAACAGAGGATAGCATGGGGGATGGAATAGAATGGGGAGTGCCCAAGGGGAAGGCGAGGCGGGGGCCCAGTGTCCCAGGCTGGGTGAGGGGGCTGGGGTCTACGTGAAGAGGGCAGTGAGCCCAGGATGTCACCCACTGCACCCCCATCCTGCTCTCGGCTGCTCTACTTAGTTCCACAGTCACCTGTGGGCAGGTGTGTGGATCTCCTTCTCCTGAGCTCTCGAGGTTAGGCTTGTGCCTGAGCCCATAGCAGGGCCTCAGAAAAGGGGTTCCTAGAGGTTGAGGTGGGAATGAGGGTTCCCACACTTCGTTTACTTGCGGATTATGTGTTCTTCTAACAGCAATCTTTCCTTTTTCCCTCCTAAAAGAGGTTGTGTATGTGTGTGGGGGGGGAGGGGTACATGCATGCGTGCACGTGTGTGTGTTTGTGTGTGTGTGTGTGTGTGTAGCTGAGACTTTCCCTTCACCCTCTTCTTCGTGGGCTGGTTAACTGGAATGACTGGGCAGTGATGCTTTGACTAGTGACCCTGGAGCCCAGCAGCCCCCGATGACATTGAGGATTTGGGGTCTGGGGCACAACTTCAGGGGAAGACAGTGCCGTTCACTCTCTGCTCCTGCCCCAGCCTGCCCCCCCCTGCCCTAGTTGGCCAGGCCGCTGCAGCATCATGAACTTTCTGTTTTCTCTTTCTAAGGTGGGCCTTAATGTCCTGGTTCAGAAAGCCAACAAGTTCACCCCAGCCACCCGTCTTCTTGTCCAGAGATTTGTGCCATTCCCCGCTGTAGGTAAGACTTGAACCATGCAGAGGTATGCAGGGGTGTGTGCAGGCGTGTGTGTGTCACACCTGGGTGTGTGGGGCTGCAGGGCTCTTGGGGAACTGGATGCCTTTCCAGACTTCTTCTGACATTGGGGTCTCCTGGTGAGGGCAACTAGAGCAAAACATGTGTAGACAGAAGTGAGGGTGACAGGGGCGCTGCTGACGAGCTCTGTGACCAGGATTCTGCTTTTAGCTCAGGGATTCTTAACCTGGAGCCCCAGTCCCCCACAGGACCAGTAGATAGAACGCAGGGGATCCTATGAACTTGGCTGGGGAAAATACCTACACTAGCCTCTAGCTGAAATTTAACATTTCCTTCCACTGGGAGTGTAGGCAGCAAACCACAGTAACAAGCAAGAGCTGTGACTTTGTCACCAATAGAAATCACGGATACTTTCACGTCCTGTTACAGTTGTTACAGAGGTTTTAAAATACCGTTTCTGTGCCACACTGACTCAAAATTATGATATTGATTCAATCCACTGGTAGGTCTTGTTTTTTAATTCGTTAGTTAAAAAGCACACCTATGATTGTATCACAATTGAAAAAATATTTGGCAATGTATTCCAATATAATCCCTTTATTTTTTTTTTAATGTTTATTTCTTTTTTGAGAGAGAGAGAAAGAGCATGAGTAGGGGAGGGACAGAGAGAGATGGGGGACAGAGGATCTGAAGTGGGCTCTGCGCCGACAGCAGTGAGTCCCACGTACTCGTATTATTCATATTCAGGTAATTGTGGCGCGTGCATGTGTGTAGAGGGGATTTTGCTGCCTCCAGCTAAGTCTTTGCTGGTCTTGGAGCCGCTGAGCTCACAATAGATGCCCCCGGCCAGCTCATCAAGCCCAGCCTGGCTCTTAAGAAGCCCATGCTTTGTGTGGGGAGAGGGCCCTATAGCAGAATGTTTTTAAAAACTAAAAAGAAACAACACTGAAAGAAGCACGAAGCAGTGTGTGATTAGTCGTCTAAAGAGAAGTATACGCCTGAACCATGATACCGAGTTCCCCATTTGATGCCAGAGGACAAAGATAGGGGCCGGCCCAGGAGTGGTGTCAGGTCCCGTCACCTCCCAGGTGCCAAGGCTCAGTCTGAACAGCCCGAGTCAGACCCAGGCTCATGGTCCCAATCTCATTATTCACCTCCAGGGTTCAGCTTCCCCATCTGTAAAATGGGGGCACTGATACCTACCTTCCTGCAGCCCAGAGCTGTGGGAGGGCCAAACGAGATTACAGACCAGATTCCATTCGCAGGAAAGTGCTTTGGAGCACCTAAAGAGCCCCGTAAGAAGGTGGGAGATCATTACCTGGCAGCCCCCGCCTCCTCGTTGGCCAGAGGCTAATGAACTCCCAGGACCAACTGCCCGTCTGAGCCTCAGCTGACCCAGATAATTGCTTAGCAACTCCACACTTTTAATGAACTCCCAGCTATTTCTGGCATGGGCCACTAATGGAATAACTCTTTAGATCTGACTTTGTTAAGGGGCCTAATTGAGTGAACAAGGCTGCCGATCTTGCGTTCCTCGCTATTCTGGGCTGGAGGGTCAGATGTAGCCTCAGAAGGTGGCAGCTCTTAGCTGCACTGGACTGGATCTGGGACTCGGCCGAGATGCAATCTGTCCTTGAGCCAAGCTTCAGACAAGGACTTTGCCAGGGGCCTGTTGCAGCCTTGCTCTGCCAGTCATCTTGCTGGATGACCTTGGGGGTGGTCTTAACCTCTGGGGCTCCTTCAGGAGGAGGGTCCCTGCTTTCAGGTTTGACCCTATCTGTCATGCCCACCCGAGACTTTAGGACCTGTCCCTCTTTGGGCTCCAGCCTGATTCTCCTCCTGTCTTAATCCAAGAGGAGCCTGCAGGTCCAGCCACTGTCAAATTGTCTTGAGATCCCACATATCCATAGTCAGTTGCACAGGTTGCACACAATGCCGTTTGTAGTCCTGATAGTCCTAGTTTGCCAGGATCCAGAGAGCAGCAGATCCTTTCTGGCTGCTTCCTCAGGCCTGCTGCCTGAGTCCTAGCTGAGTGCCTGCCTCCCTTCCACCCCTGGCTCCTGTCTCTCCTTGTCCACATTGCAGGCTTCCACTTCCCTGGCCCCGATGCCCTCCCAGGCCCATCTGCAAACGGATACGTGCTAACCCCCCGGGTAGATGTTGACACGGTGGTGTGTAAGATGAACAGACATCCCCCTCACCTGCTTTTGAACCCCTGGTCCTCTCAGGCCATCATACAGACCCTGCACTTGGCCACCCTTCACCTTGTTCTCAGGCTTAGACATCTTCTGTAAGGCTCACTGCATGCAGGCAGGGCCTAGGTCCCTCCAGGCATTCATCCTGCTTTCCATGGCGGGCTAGACCAGACTAGGCCAAGCCATCGTTAAGGCCACCAAGAAGCTTGCTCAGGATTTGCTTTACCTTGTAGAGGGTTCTTTGCCCTTCCGACCCCTGGCCTGATGGGGAGACAGGACTCACAGAGCCATAAGTGCTCACAGGAAGGAGGTTGAGGCAAGTGGAAGTGATCAGATTAAGCCCTGGCTGTTGGGATGTGTGTGGGGGCTTGGGGGTGGTGTGTAGAGCAGAAGGGGGTCTTCATGCTGAGGGAGGGTCCTGAAAGGGCCTGTGTGCCCTGTGCTCAGAGGCCATATCCCTACTCCCTCCCTCAGGGAAGGAGGCTCCCAGGAGCCGGTTGCTTCTTCCCGCTGCCCTGCCCAGTGAGTTCTGCCCTGTTCCAGCCTGCAATCTGGAAGGTTGAGAGGATACCTCTCTTCACTGGGCCCTCCATGCTGCCCAAGAGAGAGGCCTGAGACTCTGGGCACAGGACACCTCATTCCCCCACCTGACTCCACTGATTTTACCCCTCTCTGGCTTTGGACCAGACCTCACTTCAGCCCCTTCCCACTGGAACATGTGTGACACACATTGCAGGCCTTCCTTGGGTTTGTAGGGGCTCCACAGCTCTCCACATTTCCCCCAGCATACCTCTGTGGCCTCTCACTCCCCACATTGTCTCTCTGGGAGGACCCAAGGCAGGGTGAGCCATCCCCATTTCCCGGAAGAAAAAAATTCAGACTCTCTGAGCTGGCCACCGCCCAGGCCTTGAAGGCCCAGGCCAGGCTACTTCAAGCCCACTTGGATAACCCCTCACCCAAGCAGCCGCGAAACTGAGGCATGTGGTCCAGAGGCGCCCCCCAGGAGCACCCCGCCTCCAGGTTCACCCTGGTTTTTTAGCTAGGGTTGTGCGTGTGTACGTGCACGCATGTGTGCTGAGTACGTGGGAAGCCCTGAGGACACTCACTGAGCCCTTCTCTCCCTCACGGTGGTTTCAGAGCCTTGCTGTGCCCCGGTCCACAGCAGCAATCATGTGGGAAATCTCGGTTTCTATTTATACATGGAGATGTTAGGAAAGACGGTGAGCCCAGGAGCATGTGTGCTGGCATCAGAATCGATTGGGGACTGGTAATTAATTTGTTTAGACCTTAATTAATTCTCCAGTTCTTTCTTATTTGTGGACTGTCACGCTTAATTGTGTTCAGGAGCTCGAGCTCGGAGCAGGCCCTCCATTAATTGATGGGTGCTGTGAGGTGGGAGTTAATGGTTTGGGGAGCTGGGCAAACAGTGTAATTAAAGGTCAGTAGAGGAGGCATTGGAAAAACAACCCCCCTCCCCCAGGTCCACCCACCAGTCTCCATGAGCAGAGTCCATTCCAGGGCAGGCAGACCCCACAAACAGCCTTCTCTTGAGGCCTTAGGCTGGGAGCTGGCAGGAGTGGCCAGTGGGAGGCATGCAAGGTCGCGGATGCCGCAAGGGGGCACTGGTGAGAGGAACGGGCACATTTCGTCAGGAATGCGTGGGGCAGGGCCTTTAGCCAGGGGCCGAGAGGTGAGGATCCCCAGGTGCCACCTGGCAAGCAAATCTCCGTACCGGGCTCTGCATATATGTGTGCAGGAGTCAGGGAAGGAAGCCCTGAAGGTCACCCCACCCCCACCTGCTTGACTGAATCCATACCCAGCAGGGGACAAGACCCCCATGTGGGCTTTGAGCTCCCTCAGGGGAGGCCGGAGCCTCAGCACCTGCCAGCTGACTCCTTGCACGGGCGGGGTGGGGGGGGGAATAACCTTCGCGTATGGGCCAAAATGCCAGCCTCATCATCCCTTTGCCGGGAAACGCCTTCTTCCTGCACTGTCTACAGCAGTCCCCTGCATTAAATGTCACAGCTGATTTCATCACCAGGAAAAAATCTCTGTGTTCACCGGGGAGTCCGTTCCTCAGGATGTCTGGGCGGTGTCTGGGAGGTCTTCTGTTCACATGTCTGCCCTCACCCCACCTCCTTGCTCCCCTTCACCCCCAGGCCACGTGGGTCTTGGTGTCCTTGATTCCTTCTTTACTATTCTTCCCTTGGTGTTCAAGCCTCCCTGCTTGCCTCGTCCGGGAGGTGGCCACGGCAATGTGCCCGAGCCCAGAGGGTTGGTCCTGACCTCCTCAGTTCCTCATCCCCTGAGGTGCACCTGTGTCAGCTGTGGCTGGGCCTCCTGACGTTTGTCCCTTCCATCCAGGTCAGTGATAATGTGGTGTCCGCAGCCCTTCAGCTCCTCTGTCCTTTCCTTGACCTAGTCCCTGCCCATACTCCTTTGGAGCTGTGGTGAATCTTCAACCTCCCGTCTGCCTCGCTCACTGGTCCCAGGCCTTTGAACATAGCCCTGTTTGCCTGGAATCTCCACTTCCCATTACCTCAGCCCCCATCCTCTGCCTTCTCTTGCCTTCATTTCTCTGCTCAGACACCACCTCCACCAAGAAGCCCTCCCTGGTAGGCCCAATCAGGGCTAGACCACAGCACCCTGTGTGTGCCTGTGTGTGACCTGGAATTGCATGTTTTTTGTTGCTGTTGTTTTTTTTCTGAGTCTGCCTCCTTTATCAGACTGTGAGCTCCCCAAGACTCATTCATCCCCAACCCCCAGGCCCCCTCTATGCCTGGCACACAG